TGTGCCGGTAACTGGATGAAGGATCACAGAGAGGAGAGCAGAGCAGATGGGGGGGGGGGTTACATTAAGTTGCTCCTGGGTCCATTTCACTTGACAAAACCCAGCACACGTTTGTCTTTTGCAGCCGTCGACGGGGTGAGACAGACATGTTCAGGACAGACTCTTACCGTTCAAAAGATAGAAGAGGCAAAGAGTCTACAGACTGTTCCGTTCCCATGGTCATGTCAGTTGAGATTAAAAGAAGAAAATATTTTTTGTAAGCCACATTCTCACATCCCCCCCCCCCCTTTCCTCCTTCAAACACCCCCACAAAATTATCCCATTATGATGTTATCTTAACTCTCACTACTACCGTTTTCACAGCAGTGTCCTTCCATATCAGCCAGTCATCGAGTCTTTGATGTGACCAACGAGCTGCCCGAACACAATAACAGCGTGCAGATGGAGCTCATAGCGCAAAGGGCCCCCAGTAGGAGAAGGACATGCTTTAATTTCTACGGTCGCCTCTTGTAGAGCTGACCTTCACACCTCCGGCGATCCATCAAGATCTTTTCCCGCCAACGAACAGCTGGAGGCGAAGCAGAGCACTGGGGGGTTTTTCAAAATAAATGTCTGGTGGGAGAGCAGGTGAAGTAGCACGTGTACTTAAGACATAAAAAGATAAAGCTGATGATACTTGTCACCGCGTCATTTCTCGTCCCAGTTTTGAGTCAAAATAAAAGTTGCGAAAACAACACTTAAAGATCGCCTTGTTTCCACATAGTCCATTCATTCCTATGGGAACATCCGGAAAGTTCGATGAGTTTGCAAAACTTCTCCTTTCATTTTTTAATATTCGCTTTGAGTACGTTGAAAACTTTGAACTTTTGCGGCAGATTTCGGACAGACCTTATGTATGATAATTTCCTGAGGAATTAGCAAATTGCTGACTGATTGATGAATGTCTTCCAGCTATATTTACACTTTTTTTTAAATAAAAAGTTCAATGGCATATTTAGCCAGTCTTGTGAACTATTTAGTTAGAGGTGCATGATACCAGATTGGGTACATTGGGACTGCCTCTCAATGGCTCTCAACGTGGCGACACGAGCTGGTGGCTCGTAGCTAATGGTGCTAACAGCGCTAACGGTACAAGTTATGACAAATAACATAACAAGTTATGGTAAATGTCAGTAACTATAGGCTAAAATATACAGCTAACTCACATTCTGTTATCCGCTGTGATTAAAACTATCTCAAATGGAAATTAACAAAAGTAAAGCTTTTTTGTTGCTGTTTTTAAACTAGTTAAGTAAATTATTTTGTTGTTACACAGTAGAACTTAAACACTGATATTTCATTAATATATATATTTTAAAAACTGTCGCACATGCAGAATGACAGCATTTGTGAGTGTTCCTAAGTTACTGTGACAATAAATACATGTTAAAAATACAACGTTGCATTTAATGTTTAAAAACTCACTGAACCTTTTTTTGCTTATGATGCATTTGGCATTATATAAAGTGAAATTAATCTGTATATAGACGGTGGTGTCAACTACAATATGTTTGAATGCTCTGAGGTTAACTGTAGGCATACCACATTTTTCATGAATACCGTTTCATCCAGATGAGTCACAACTGGAAATGTTTTTAAAAATGGAACCGGTGTAGCACAGCTGCTCATGCAATGTAAAAAAAAAAAAAAAAAGCGTAACTTTTTTTTTAGCGCTGTGCTGGTGACGTGGTCTGCTCGAGAGCCTGCTCGCTTAAATCGAGCATTTGGCCGAATTCTCCGGTAATCTGTGCTTTTAGTGGCCAATACCTTCCGTGTGCTGAAAGCTTGTTTTAAAGAATATTCCCGTTGAGTGCTGAAGGGTGAAGTCACCGGCCGAATGTTTTCTTATTGCTCTTTGCCCACAGAGAAGGTTATTTTCAAAGAAGAGGAGTTATTCCAAGAATGTTCCCTGCTGCTGAATCTGCGTTTATAACCACAAGCTCGGGAGATATTACTGGGAACGTGTTGCCTCTCGTACTTCTATTTCTAAATCAATTCATCCTGAATCCAAAAAAAAATAATAGAACAAGGTGAAAGGGAGACCTATGTTCTCTTGGGTGTTTTGGCATAGTCGAACATCCCACAATCACAATACCACCAATTAAATCTAATCCATAAATTTGGCCACCCTCTGCGCCTTTAAAAGGAAACTACGGTGGAAGAACAACATTCCAGCTTCATTAGTTTACACTGCTGATATTAATACTATCATTACAGTTGGACATGGTTTATTTTGACTACTATTACCACTAATACAATAATAGACTCTAATTGAGGCTGAGCGAGGCGGGGGGGGGGGCACAGGATCGACTTGGAGTCGTTCCACCCCCGGCAGCTGCAGCAGGGGCCCAGAGGTCAGACGTACAGTAACACTTGACCCCGAGTCCGTGTGTGTGCGTGGAACAACCGTCCCCGCCCTCCCGCCAAACTGCGGTCCCTGCAGACCAGCAGAAAAAGGGCAGTAACCTCTGAAGGCTTTGTTTGGTTGGCCGGAGTCTGAGCATAGGCCCACCATTGTAAGTCTGGGGACTCCTATGCTCCAGCTCTTGTTTTCTTTGGGAAGCAGGAAATTGGATGACTGGCTACCTGCTACAACAACATCCTGTACTTGAGAAGCCGTCTTTTCACCCATACCCACCTATTATTTCCCTTTTCCATCATACGCAAGTGGTCAGCCAGCTTTTTTTTCTCTTCTTCTTCTTCTTCTTCTTCTTCTTCTTCTGGTCCTGGGGGCCCCGTGCGTGGGTTTGTCTCAGTTCCACTCAGGTTGAGATCAAATTGGCCCCATCCAGATGCTTCCGTTAAAAAATAGCGCTCTGGGGCCAAAAAAACTTTTTGGAGCCCGACTCCACCTCGTCAGGTTAACGGCCCTTTGTGAGCTGACTGGAATGACAGTGATGGTGTGCAAAAGTGAATGTTCCTATTCAAACACACACACACACACACACACATACACACACACAGACCCAAATCTACTTATAGCTCTGTCAGTCCTTGTCAGGTCACTTCAGACCAATCAGAGAGATCTCAGCGGGTCTGCAGGAGACCACTTGCCATTGTGAAAACATTCTTGAGGATTATGGTGCAACAGACGGGATCTGGTCGGGCGTTGATGAGAGTTGATTCTGATCTGACCTCAGGGATATCCGACCTCCATGCGAGATATTAGTGAAGATAATCATGGCATCATCGGAAAGGGATTTCGTGTAGAGCTTGCTCTGTCGCAGGAGCTCTCACTGAACACCCATGTTACACATTAAGGGGCTGCCTAATCCCTCCTGATAAGATTTTGTTGCTGCGACCCCCAGACAGGAAGACTTCACTGAAGTGGGTGACCTGGGACAATGTAGTCCAACCAGACAGGACTGCCTTGTCGTTAATACCGAGTCAGACACCATGTTTATGACAATGTCTGATATTTGCATGGAGGGGGCTTTTATGTTATAGTAGCATGTGGCGTATCGAGGTTCCTCGTATCGTTTTCAGTCAAAACGGAAGCAAAAGAGTTTACTTTAAACACGCATCAGGGGTGAAAAGGTGACATCTTGATGCCCCCACAGACATCATAACCCCTCCCATAATGAAAATAAAATAGTAAAAAGAAAAGTACAAAAAGAAGTACGCTACTGTGACTAGTGACTTTTACATCAGCGCAAGAAAACAAATGTATATTCTTGTCACTTTTATATTAACATACCGTATGTGACTGCACACTGTCTCTTATTCCGACTGCACTGACAATCTTTACTTATACACCAGTAGTACAAGTGTCAAAGACACAATCCTCCCGCTGGGGACTGAAGTAGAACCCGCTTTGTCAACTTTGGTAAACTATTATCATTAAAAAACATAAGGAACACTGAACAAACACTTTCCAAAAAGGTTACAGGTCACAATAGGCTATAAAATATTTTGCCAAAAAAGTGACAAGCCAGCTTAAAAGAGCGCAAACAGGGTTGTTATTTACACATCCAGCAGACAAAGAGCAACATTATCGTTAACTTAAGAGTCGGTTTGTGGTGACCTGTTCAATATTCACTCCCCTTTTAGTTCCGTTTTAATCCTCACTAACTCCTGAGGAAATATCTGTCTCTTTGGCTGCTACATGCTCCACTATGTTCACCAGCTGAATAAAGTTTGGTGCTGAGAAGGTGTAAAGTGAATTAATCAGAGGTTTTTTCACTGAAAACAGCAGCTTGCTTCAGCTAAAGACAACCTTGATGAGAGCCGTGAGAATGAAACAAAACATTAAAGTGTTGTCGCAAAAACCAAAACAATGAGCTGAAAGACCCTAAAACACTTCGTCCAGCTGAGGGGAACTCAGTCGGGTGATAATTCTCGGTGGGTTCGTCACTACGAGCGACACACAGTCGTTTGATCCATTGTTTGTATAAATAAATTGATGAGTGCAGCTTTAATGTTTGTCATGATGTTTCATGCCGTTTCTCTGGCTCTGGTACAGAAAGATGACGTCACCATTCTTAAACACGCCTTCAAAGCTCTGATTGGTTGGTTGTTTTTTCCAACCAGGGAAACCGCCACCAATGAACACAACACCAGACTGGTTTGAATCACTACAAAAAAACAAATATGGGCGGCATATAACTGCAGCCTGGCGAAAATACTTAAGCATGCTTAAAGGGACATGCAAGTACACGGACACACATGCAGGATTTATTACCTTTGATGTCAGCTGCCGACATCAAAAGCAAATGGGAGCAAACTTCTCCTCGGTTATAACTTTCGTAGCACTTATGTCTGACCTAAAGATCTCCATGTGATGAAACCATCAGCCCATAATGCACACATGTACCTACCGTCTCAATTATTGCAGGGTGGAAGAAATCATCAAGATATTTTTCCCATCATTTTGCAGCAGATGATTTATTCTATTTGCAGAAACAGGCAACATCTGTGTTTTATCAATAACATTCAACATGTATAAAAAAAGAATAGTAAAAAAAATGCTTGACAGATTATAAAAAAAACTATATTCTAGGGAAAAAAGAAACTGACAAAATGAAGCAGAAGTCATCTGATTGTGAGGCACTTATGGCTTGGCAACACTTGTGCAGTCTGAGTTTTCCCAGGTGGTTGTAGTCAAGCGTCAAAAGGCCAAGATTACAATATTGGAACCAAAGGAGATGCTCTCAAACACAATCACATCATGGTGTGATATGTCATCACCGGCCTTAAAGCTGCTTATCTGGACCTTGTCACTGATCTACAATGACCAATAAGTATCATCTCTAATATTTAAGACACAGTCAATGCAACAAGAGGTGGCCTCTTGCACGGAGTATTTATCAAAAAATGTATCGAAAATGCAGTTCATTGTGGACAAAAATCAACTATTTACAACAGCAAAGAAGATGCTCGTTGATTTCTTCCTGTGGTAATAAAAAGAGTTGTTTGATTCCTGCAGTTGCATTGTGCTGCGTTGGTGTCCAATTGACCCCATGTCTCTCTCTGTGTGTGTGTCATCTCCTTTTTCATAACGCCGCCGTCTTTTTTTTGTTCATTCAGAGCTGGGCGAAGCCGCCGAGTCTATGTCGTCATTTTCCAGATCGTTGGGCGAAGACGACTGTCCTCCCTTCACTCTCTTCCACTTCATCCTCCTGTTCTGAAACCACACCTTCACCTGTTGGACAGAAGTAAAGCAAACGCTTCAGTTTAAAGTGTGTTTCTTGATTTTTGATAAAGAATTGTGTTTAAAGATCATGATGTCATCAGCGTATACATGGATAAAATCGATGAGGTACATTTGCCTCTTGGTGCTTCCCCCTTTGCCATAACTTAAGATCAATGTTGTTGATCGATTGATTAGTGGATCCACAGAAAATGTGTCTGCAACTATTATATTCATCTATTAATTGTCAATTATTTTTGAAGCAAAAATCCACTGGTTTAAAAAGAGTATCTTTGGGTTTTTTGACTGTTGAAATAAAACAAGCAATTTGAGGACAAAATCTTTTTTCCCCCACAACTTTCTGACATTTTATAAGATATTGTAGGATGATAAAAGGCTTTATTAATTCCCAAATGGGAAATTCGGTTGTTGCAGCAGCACAAGAACAGAAATAAATACAGTTTAGTAGGAAGAGTAAAATATAAATAACGAGAGGACTACAAAACTAAAATAAGAATAGAAGTAAAACTACAAACTACACAAGAGCAATTAAAAAGACAATTACCAGGCTAAAGTAAAGGTTTTATATATGTACATGCAGACTAATACATCATTTGATTAAGTAATGATAATAAGTATTTAAATGAGAAAATAATTGTCAGATTAATCATTAAATGAAAACAATCATTAGTTGCAGCCATACTGGTATATTACTAATTAATACTGTGTATTAAGTACCCAGCACAAGAAGTTAAAACAATAAGAATCTATTCTAGATAACACTCAGATACAGTGCAGAATTATTCCACCAAATATGAACTTGTAACATGATCACTGTGGCTTTTCTCTCTGTGTTGCAATTTTTAGCAGAATTTACAACACGGTCAGCGGAAAAATAGACAAATAATCCCCCACAAATCTGCCGGCGCGGTATGTCAACTGGCTCAGTTTGCGTTGGCCTTGCAAGAAGCATGAATTGTCGGTACAAAGCTCTCGGTTCTGGCTCAAAAATCTCTGCAAATGCAGGCAGAGAGTATCGTATGGACAGTGGGTCAAAGGAGTCAACTATCAGGATGTCGGCCTCCACAGGATGTGAGTTTACAGTGTGGATGGTGCTCATCTGTGTCACTGCGCCGCTCTGAAATGTGAATGATATCATGCTTCAGCCGTCTGGCCAAGAATAGCAGCGCAAACATACACTTCCTGAAAATTACAGGGAAAATACGGCAAAAAAAACAACCGAGGGTTGAAGTGTGTGATTGAAAACGTTCACTCAAGACTTTATAAAATAATGTGACAGATTAACACCGAGACAAAACAACGTCCAAATAAATCTGGGGCCATGTTTGATGTAACAGATGAAGTGAATGTTTCACTAACCGGTCGTTTAAAATTAGGCTCGTGTTATTCTATATATTTTTTAATTGTCAACAAATCCCATGAAAAGACCTAAAACAACAATTAGTCCATTTGTTAACACATCTGTGGCTCAGTCCTTCCTGAAGAGGAAGTGGTTTGTTGGAGAGTATTTTCAGCAGCAGATTAATACACATGTGGTGATCTACTGAGTATTTACAGCAGCAGGGTAGATTTATTTAAATGAAACTACAGTGCCAATGTTCATCACAATGAAGGAACATGTCACAGTGTGGCTTTAATAGTGTTTGGACAACTAGGATCTCTATGGCACAGAGGAGGAAGATCCATCAGGCTTTGGATACACAGGTTGTTAATAGTTTGCTGTTAGTATGATGCAAATGGGATTTGTTGACATAACAAAATATAGAATATCTCCAGCCGTATCTTTTAAGCTAATAAAACCCATTAAAACCAGTTGTGTTATGTTGAAAGCCAGCAACACTGAACTCCAAGCTCTTCGTCTCAGTTCATGAAAAAGTGACATTTTTGAGAGACATGATTGACTTCAATTTATATTTTAGGATGACTCTAGCAGCTCAAGGAATGTCAGGTCGAGAACGTTTGAGGTGACTCCTGCTCACTCTGGGATTCAAATGAATCTGCTGCCACATACAAAAGCCTCTTTGAGTTTTTTCTTCACATCGTGGCCGACTGAAAGGACGGCGAAAACGCCAAAGCCGGGAGGATGAGCTGGAAAAAGCCGACCAGTCGCAGTGGGACCTCTGAGTAAAGATGAAACCCGGCTGTGCGAGTGTGTCCTTCCATACAGCAGTGTATATATATATGTGAGTGTGTGTGTGTTTTTTCTGGAGGTCTGGGAAATAGATTTGAGGAGCAGACGGCAGTATGTGTGGTCACTGTGGCACCGTGGCCTCATTAGGAGGAGCTGGGACACCGGGCCTGACAGACAGACTGAGGTTTCATCCAGCAGCATCGACACATGTTCGCCCGATTTTCATCGAGTCTGGAGCTGCCGCCCACTCATTAAAGCTGCATGTCATTCTGCTCGAACCGCAGCACGAAGAAATATCGTGGAAAAAGCGATTCATTATGATCTAAATGCATCTATGTGCATGGATAAATATTGCAATATAAAAATCTTTTGGGACTTTTGCTGGTGGATTAGTATGACAGTAGAATTAGAAAAAAATTAATCAGTAGCCTAACTAAAATATTTACTTTTAGAAACAAATTTCTTTCCACATGTTTCAGTATTTGTCACATAAACCTTTCTGCTATATTTTGTATTTTTTGCAAGGATTCTTTCATAAACAAAAAGTCCAAAATCAGAGATTAGTTGTTATCTAAATGCGTCCCATTTGACTCAGAAATAACAGAAACATATTTGATATTTAACATATTCGACTGATGAATAATACGGAGCATTATATTTATATCTATGATAAATGGCATACCTGTCTCTCTGTGAGGTCCAGGTTGACGGCGATCTCGTAGCGCCGCAGCCTGGTCAGGTAGTTGTGGTGGGTGAACTCGGCCTCCAGCTCCCTCAGCTGCTCCTTGGTGAACGCCGTGCGCTCTTTCCGGGCCTTGCAGCTGGAGTCCACCTTAAAACTGGAGTCCTGGATATCTGGAGGGAAACAGAAAAGGAAATGCATTTCATGCAGATTAAGGAGTGCGCTTGGCAGCTTTCTTCTTCAAACTTTCCTCAAGACTGTTTGCTGATAAATGGACAAATTCTTAGCATTATTTTTTGTACTTTTCAATCACATTTGTTTTAAATATGGAACGACTAAAGTTAGATTTGTGACCAGCCTCTCTCTATTAAATAGCCCTGAAGGACCTTTTCAACCAACAAACCACAACTCCAAAGACTCTTTACTGGGAGGCCCCTCATATAGTAAACACCAAAACCAGCACTTTAAAAAGAGACCACCATGACCTGAGCTCACACGAGTCCTGTTCACCTGCAGCGAGTATACATGCATGTGCATCTCTGCATCAGCGTGCATGTATCAATGCACACGCTCTGCCTTTTTATTTGTTTGTTTACACATTTTAGACCAAACTGATGCATTCGAGCGTTGATTCACGGCGTGTGTGTGAGAGCATTGTCGGCACAGGGCAGGGCCCACCAAACCAGCCACAGAGGGACTGAGTTAGGAGAGGAATGCAGCGGAACATCGTTAAATCCTCTAACAAAAGAACAAAGGTGCGGATGTATCCAGGTCCGACTGCTACGTGTGTGTGTGTGCGTGTGTGTGTGTGTGTGTGTGTGTGTGTGTGTGTCAGGGGAGATTTCCCTCTGGAGCAGATTCACATTAACTCATCTCAACATGACAGCGAATACATCAGGACGAAGATATCTCTATGAAGGTGGCGGTCAGCTGTAAGGGGCGACCGGTAAATGTGGTTTGAACTATGCTGACACCGGTTTCACTGATTATTTAAGCTCTTATAAGACAAACGTCACGGTTTATTACTAAGATTTATAGATCCCTGCCTTGATATTTCCTAGGAAATGTTAAAATTTTAAACCTCATTTACCAGGATGAACATCAATGAAAGCTGGTGGATTTAACTCCCAGTAAAACCTCTCGTGTATTAAAAGGGAAAAGAGTTTTTGTGGTAATAATTGAGCGCTGGTAGCGACACTAGCAGCTGATGTAATCGCTAGAAAACGGTTCTAATTTGTCAAAGTGAGAAGTTTTGCTCGGCGCTTGCCAGAGCAGCGGGCCAGGATGTGAAATGGACTGCTGTACCTGGGCCAGATGTGACTGGGCAGACCAGGACATGTGTGTGCAAACGCCTGGTGTGTGTGTGTGTGTGCTGGAATACCATTGTGTCATGCCAACAAAAAAAAAAAGCCTTCTTATTGTTGTTAAAGTGTCCCGCTGCCCTGAGTGCTGCCGGGCCGCGTCAGGTCTGGTCTGGAGCTGCGTGAAGCAGGTTTCGTTAGACCGAACACCTGGCTGGGCACAAACTGGTTCCCACTAAACAGGCCCCCAATAAATATCCTGCACAGCCAGAGACCGTAAACTTGCAGGGAGAAGGCTTCTGCACCCAGCAGGGTCCCCAAAGACAAACAGCATTTGGTGCCTTTCTTTTGGGGTGGATGGTGCAAAAGTAGTTTGTCTTCATCAGGACTGAATTAAAGCTGCAAGTGATTGTTTTCAATCAAAAACCGCAGGTGAAAATTACAAGTGTGACTGATCGCATAATTTGTGGGCGTAAAAGTGGGAGTCAGGTTGTTTTATTGGTAAAACTTTATTAAAACCTCGTTATCTATCATTTGTAAGTTGAAGTCAATTCATAAATGGGTTATAACACAATATAATGAAATTATAAGGAGGTACAATGACATTTTAAAGTGCTTATTAATGTGAATGGAAAGGTAATGTTTGCTCGGCAACATAAATGATATATGAAGAATTGTCTTCAATTACATTTATTAACACTTTTAGACCCACATGAGAATGATTTGTAGACGTATACAAACAGTTAGTAAATGCTTTATAACATACTGCTCTTATGTGTAATAATGCAGCCATGTTACTATGCATTAGTTTAGTGACAAATACATTAGTAAACATTTAAATATGCCTCTAGCCAAATAATCTGAATTTTAAAATGTCCTTATATTTATTAAAGTGTGTTATAAACCATTTATTAAGTGTTAATATTCTGTTAATACATGTTAAGTAGTAGGTAAAAAGTGTAACTGATTGCTTATATAATGAATTTTCCTAATTGTTTTAAATTGTGGACAGATTACAGACAATTCAATATAATGAAAATAATAACATCTGCTAATCACAGAGAGTTTATATCAATGTTCCTGTTTTATATCGTGCTGTATTATACAATTAATTATCAGTCAAACTTTGGACTGAAGTCGATATCAGGCACCAGCTGGAGTTCTAGGTTTTGGAAACACTTTCCCAAATCTGAATAAATACACACAGACACAAGCAGCCTGTATAGCAGCTCTGTCTGTAATGTGAAAGCCTTCGGGGCATTTTCCTAATATACGTGCTCTTCCACCGGCTAGTCAATACAAGACTGAATGGCTCTTTTTCTGGAACCAAGAAGCGATGTAGTGGTCAGACATGTTGCATGCACTCAGTGGGAGATTGTGTTACGGTTTAACGACAGGAAAATGTCAATGGATAAGAATGTAAAGAGTGGGCTCGCAGGCGAAGTGATTTTACCAGACGTGGTCTGGCATGTTTTCAGCGTAGTGAGTGGAGGTTACAATAAGGTAAGAGAGGGAGGGGGTGGTGGGTGGTGTGTGGGGGGGTCTGTACTTCCCCCACCATCCCCTTCAATTAGGCTGTTGCAGACATCGGTCATGTAGTTTTTTTTCTCCCAAATAATGATTGGTGCTCTTCAGAATCCGATACGGTTTGTTACGTTTGGACAAGAAAAGATAATCACGATGAAGCACTTGATGACAATATCTTGAAGTGTATCTTCTCCACCCAGCTAGTAAGTGGAGTAAAATAAACATCAGGATTTGTAAAAACTGAGTCACCCAAGAGCCAAACCTCATTTAAGATATGCACAGAAAGGTTTCTTGGAGATTAAAGTTTTACCAGAGATTACATGCATTTCTCCAAAGTACAGATTTGGAATATTTATTGCTACATTTTCTTTCTTATTAGGTGCAGAAGTGCAAATGGCCGTTTACATAAATCATCATCTTTGCGAGGGAAACAAAGTTGAAAGGCTGACATTTCTCTTCAGTTAAGAAAAAGTTTTTCACAGATGAAAAGTGAACATTCCAGATGTGTTGGACGTGGATTCATCTTTGACTCTGCCAGGGAGCAATTCTGCACATTCAAACTTTTACACCTTCAGATTCAGTTTAAATATAAACATTTACTTTATTCCGTCGCGCTCTGTGTTAGTGTGTCACGTGTTGAAACTTTTAGGAATGAGTTCGTCATGGATATCGGTTACTTTTGCTTCCTATTAGCAAGTGTGAAATATGATAGGGGGAATAAATTGTGCTGTAATCCAAAAGCATACAATGATACTATTGCAATGCTTACAACACAACTATGGGCGGATATAAGGAAACATGAACTCAGAGAGCATTGCTGGAAATAGCATGCAATAGAAGTATGATCTTATTTTGGTGAAGTTAAATGATCACTTTTTCTCTTTGATAGTTTTAGGTGAAAAAAGTTCAATAAATTCAAAATTCACAAAAAAAAAACTACAGCAAGATTGTGGCTAAATATAATCCACTCAAATAAAAAATAACTGAAGCACCTGCGATGCCTGAAACCACTTTTCCCCACAGAAGCCTGATTTTTTTTACCATCATCTTGAATGTGACCACTCTGTTATCAAACAATGGTCTATTTCCAACGGATGCAGGAGCTCAATGAAACGTTCACTCGTCCCGTTAATCTTTTCAGCCTTTTGAACAATAAGAGGATGCAACTGCTACTTGAAGTGTGCGTCTCCAACACAAAAGTCTCGTCACCTACTCACCTTTCACATAGCGATCCGGTGAGAGCGCTGCTTTAAGGGCGAGTTGATGAGGAAATAAGAGGGAGAATTTGTGTCACTGCCAGCTGTGATACAGGGCAAGGGAGACATTCTTAACCTCGAGGTACTTAACATTTTGCTGCACTTAAAAACAGAGCGTCAATGGCGTGGCTTTTTTTTTTTAACACCTGCGTGCAGAGGTTTGTTGAAAAAAAATCATGGGATTACTGTCTATTTTTCATTTTTATTCTTTGCTGCTGTCTTTTCTTTTTATGTCCACCGTATACACCAGTGTAGCAGAAGAAGAAGAATGTGCACTGTCATTTTTAATACTCCCACATGTGCATTTCATTACTGCACATCTTCCTTTTCTAAGCCTCCTGTGATTAGTCTTTGGATGCTTGTCTCTCTCTATTAGACCTAAACACACTCCAGCTGACTCCCATCCATCCCAGCGACTCACCTGTGACATCTCTCTTCCTCTTGTTGGAGGTCTTCTTGTCAGAGTCGGCCGACGTCGCGCTCTGAGGCGAGTACTCTCCCTCCAGACAGCCGGGCACGGCCCCTGGAAGCCTGTCTGTCCCTACACTGTCCAGCTCGGGCCCTCCGCCTCCGGCACCACCTACGGGTACGACGATGGCCGGGCAGGCCTCGGGCGCCCTCGCCCGTGTCTCGCAAGGGTTGAACTGCCAGTCGGCTCTCTGGTAGCCCCCCTGGCTCTCTTGGTACTGTCTGTCGTCTCTTGGGTAGGCGGCGTGCGGCACAGTCGGCACCAGGCAGGAGCTGGAGAAGTCCGTGTAGGCCAGGAAGTCGGGCTTCTGGTGGAGGGAGAAAGGGGCCTGCTGGTAGGGCAACTGCAGATTGGCCCCCGAGTGAGGGTTCCTCATGCAGCCCCAGATTGGGCTGCTGGGGTGGGCGCTCCTCATGCAGCTGCTGGCTGGCTGATCCATGACGAGGCAAGAATCACACGATCTTAATCAACGTCTTGTTACGAGTCTTTTTGCTTGCAGAGGAGTTGGAATCCTCCCCTCCCCTAACTGATAGCGAGTAAGGACTGGAAATCTGTATCGGTCTTGAGAAACGTCCACTTCAGCCGACTAAATGCACATCATCGTCTCGCTGCATCCACCTCAGGAACACTCACTTCTGTCAGAGGCTGCTGACTCTTCCACAGCCGAGAACGCATGAGGATAGACGCCTTCCTGTGACAGCTTTCTCTCTCTCTCTCTCTCTCTCTCTGGGAGTGTGTGTGTGAATGTGTGTGTGACGTCCTCTGGAGCCTCCAGTCCTGACACACTCTCACACACTTTCCCTCACTGTCCTGCTCTCACACACACCCCTCTTCTCCCTGACTGGCTTTGTGGCTCGACGGGAGAGCTGCATCCGCAACTGCATGACTCCCCTCCTCGGGCTGGCTGTTTTCACAACTCTTCTAAGGCATTCTTGACAAGCAGAGCCCTCCTCCTTTTTAAAACATATAGGTGGGAAAGAGTGGCAAGTTTATGGAGTGTAACGTGAGATTGCAGAGGAGGAGCCCTGCCGGCCACATGTTGGTAGTACCCTCCAACCAACCCTGCCTCATCAACTATTAATCACGCTGGGGAAATTTTATACGCACATCTAATGGGCTTTCCAGACGCGGGGCTTTTTAAAGGGACATTGTCTGTAAAATAGCGAGCACCCACCCACACGAGAGCTGGGAACCCCAACTTATTTCGGCTCCTTAGCGCTTTCTGACACCCAATTTAATTCCTTTTTTGACACCCTTTCGGGAAAGTTAACCCTAACCCTTTCCCTCCACACCCCTGATCCCCGCCTGTCCTCTCCAATCTGAAAAGTATTTTTTTTTTCCTTTCTTGTTTTTATGACTTTCTGTGTGTGTGTGTGTGTGTGTGTGTGTGTGTGTGTGTGTGTGTGTGTGTGTGTGCACATGAATGCTACACACCCAAATCCACCTGGCTGTACTTTCTTTAACTCTGAGGTGATAGAGGGACTGGATTTGATATTGGCTGCGCAGACTCTCACACCTCCTGAGGCTTTCTCACTTTAGTGAAAGACAATATGAAATTTCAGAGCCACATTTCAAAAACACAAGCTAATATTTTCTTCTTCTACTATTTTTTTTCCTGCGCGGTCTCTGTGTGGAGTCCTTCTTGCTCCTAACGTCTGAGATATTTAAGCAGCAGTAGCGACTGTGCGTGACGGCGATCGCATGTGGATTTACCGCATTTGGATCGACGGAGATGTGATTTTCTGATCACTGATTTTTAATCTGTGCAGGCTACTCACGATAGAAGCCACTTCCCCATGAAGTAATGTCTCTAATACCATTAAAACCTTTTCGGGCTCAACCAAAATTTGGACTCAATTTCAGCGTATCCGTTACCCAGTAAACCCACTGAACCACACTTTACAGAAATGCAGTTTCTCTTCATACTGCTCATAGTTGTGAGCTGAGGTTTGCGTTCCTTGTGTGTCCTCACTTTGCTCCTGACCACCTCTCAGACAGGGGGGGGGGGGATCAGACCTCCATCGAGAGGAGAGAGAAGGAAAGATTCAAGGATAAAGGCTATTAGAGTAGAAAGAAGGAGGGAAAACCGAGATAAAGAGTGCACCTCAGAGGAAAAGGGAGAACTTGTTTGTGACCATTTCATAGCCAGAAAATGGGCTAAAGATGACTCAGTGCTGCTGACCCTCTTTTGTACATACATTACAGTCATAATGCATTCAGCTACAACAAAATCATTCAAGGAAAAGACAAGAGGGAAAATAAACGTCATTCAAAAAAACAAATCCACTGCCACGAAGTACAAAAAAAAAAGAAGCCACTAAAAGAACATTTAGATTAAAGTGAAAGCCAACACACCTAGAAGGGGACGAAATGAAAGAAAGAAAAAAGAAACAGTCAGATACAGACAGAAAGTCAGAGAGCCAGAGAGTGTTTGAGGTCGCACACCAAACCCTTTCCATTTACCCAGCGAATTGTTGAGCCATGAAGCATCCGCTCGCTTTTACTGGCAGCCCGAGCTCTGGCCGCACCGCAGGGAGCAGAGGTTACACTGCATTTGTGGTCAGAGCCGGGGCCATCTGTGTGTCAGTATAAATTAGAGAGTGTGTGTGTGCATGTGCTGTAAAAATATACGTCATTGTGTGTGTGTGTGTGTGTCAATATAAGAGGTAATGGGTGTTGAAATGAAAGTGATAGGAGAGAAAGAGTATCCGTTACTTCACACTCTATCTGTGAGAGTATTGTTGTCAGACATTTACACAGAACTCTGAAGAACCGTCAGTTCAGATCCAACAAATGTAAAAACAACGACGGCTTTCTTTCCCTCCAACGTCTCTTAACACAACTCAACGAGAAAGCGGGTTAGTCACTGCGTCGCTGTCGGGCGGAAACTTTGATTGTCCAAACAAGTCACTTTTCTGGAAATAATCTAAGCTGGTTTGTTGTCTTTATATATGGTCAGATACTTGCATGTTATAATATTGTTTTACCAAAATAAAGCTCAAAAAGAGTCATGAAGTTTTTGACGAGTGTATTATAAATGTATGGCTTTTATTACTTCATCCTGATTTTATAATGCCTATGTATGTGTGTATATATATATATATATATCAACCGGAGTTCAGAAATAAAGAAAAATTATTTTTTTCCGTCGCATAATATTCAAAAGTTCCAAAATATATATTGAAGCTCAAATCAATCGCAAGATAAAAAAAAAGCCCCCACGGTGTGTAAAGACCTTGAGAGTGTTTGTGTGAGAAACCGGGGAGCATGTGAACTCTCACTCAGTCATACACACCACGGACTGCAGATAAATGAGCTGGACATGAGTCACATCTCCCCTCACCCTGCTGGCAACCTGTTTCTGTCAGTCTAGCACCGCGCGTGCGTGCGTGCGTGCGTGCGTGAGAGAGAGAGAGAGAGAGAGAGAGAGAGAGAGAGAGAGAGAGAGTAAAAGTCTGAGTATGAGATAGAGGAAATGAGTAAGAGATTGCATGTGCACATGTTTAAGTTTTGCAAACTGTGCCATTATATGCGTCATGCTTCCGAGTATATTTGTGCATGAATATGTGTGTGTGACCGTGTATGAGTGTGTGTGTGTGTGTGTTTTTATCTGATCCATCTTCGTGACTCTGGCAGGATTAGGGATCTCCATCCGTCTCGTGTTTGACAGCGTGACCCTGTGACCCCACGTTAACCCGGGTCTTACTGGACTGTGGGAGCCCCCTTATCTCTGCTACTGTCCTGGGGGGATGAGTATGAGAGGAAAGAGGAAGATGAAGGAGAAGCAAAGAAGCATATTTATTTAAATGCAACACAATAAGCAAAGGCTAAGTTATACGATTGAGAGGAATCCTTGTAGGTTCTCTGTGGCCTCATGTTTAGATAATTCACTCCACATTTGTGCCACTGAGTCGGAGTCTGCTGCCCAGCTGACAGACAGATAGGAGCCAATAAACAGGACTACTGGTTTCTTTCACTCCTGCTGGTGCAGCCAAGAACCCAATCTGAGCAGCTTCTGTGCAACCAGAGCATGAAAAAGCACGAGTCCACTTGAGCATCAGAAGATAAATGATGCTTCATCAACAGGGAAGCCACAGCGGTCGATCATTTGCTCAGTTAAAAATCTAAAAGTACAAGCAGTCAAATACTGGAGGAGCTGTGAATGAATTCAGAAAGGAGTGAAGTAATGCATTACGTTTTTTATGGTTTATTTTGGTATTGGCATCATAAAGGAATGAGTTTACATGTTAGCAGTACCTTAGTTAAATTTAGTAGCTACTAAATAAAAAATAACATCAGCTGTGACCTTTTAAAATGATGATTTTTAACATTTACCATATACTGTAGGTGTGTGCAGCCAGACTCTTTAACAGATTTATTACTTTTTTTAACAGATGTATTACTTTTCAACACCGCAGATGAGCAAATGTACACCGTACGATAACCGTCAATCCTCACGCTTCATAAACCCTCATGTGCAACGGAATGTGTAATGTTTACGTGAACCACAATCCTTATTTTCTGCATGAATTGTCTTTCATGAGGTGAACTTTAAACAAGGAAAAACTGAGGAATAGCTGGAAGTTGTTCCTCGTGCTCAACCTGTTTCAATAACAATTTATAATCCACAATAGGCCGTATAAACAGCCTCAGGCATTGAGAGACGTGGGTGCAATGGATGGTGTGTGTACTGTATTCTTTCGATTGCCAACAGTATTACCTAAAGTCATTAGCAGTGTTGGCGAAGTGATCGACTGCTGCTTTGACAAATGGACTGGATTTAGAGGTTGCGTAGCCAGAAGAGTCGGATGCTGCCAGCACACTGAAGACCTAAAGAGTAGGAGCGTGTTTGCGGCCTGAATAAACGAAAAAGAGTCAGCCAAGCCAACAAATTAAATTACTGTTAACTGATTAACAAATGGTGCATACATTTATATATATAAGTAACGTAATGCTTGGACTCAACAGTGTTGGCTCGGAGATTTATATAAAATCTCTGGATGTCTGACTGACTGACCCATCCATCATAGCAACTATTTTTGTCCCAGTATTACACCAGAACTCGGAATAATCTGCAAAATATCTGCTGATTAGGCTTGAAAATATATTGTCTGCTAGCATTACAGCATTTATACGTGTGTGTGTGTGTGTGTGTGGGGGGGGGGGGGGGGGGGGGGGGCCACACACAGGTGCTAATAATCACATATGATTGGAATCAGGTGTTGGCAACAGTTTCTTGCTATTGTGAGGGGATATTACAGCTCTCTGAGGCTTCGGCCTCTCATCGTCTCCTCATTGTGAAGTTGTTTACCATTTTTCCACATTCAGATTCTCAGAGTGCTATCCTACAAGGTTAAAGCCAGTTTACACCACAACATATCGGAGTGAAAAATCCGGCCTTTGGATCATTGTTAAAAAGTAAATGATAGCGAGAGCACGGAGGTCTAAGAAAGCTGGTCAGTTCAAGTTCAAGTAATATACTTGTGTTACCCAGAAAGAGATTTAATTTGAACCTCCAATAACTGAATTCATGGTCACTTGGATGAAGAAACACAAACCTGTTAGCAACGTGCAAACGGCAGATAAAAGATTAATTTAGAGTCACGTTTGTGTGAATGAATGCAAATCAAACATTCTCTCCACCAACGCTTGAGGGAAATATCTGGCTCTGTAGCTACTCAATGCTCCACTA